TGTGCGAGCAAGGAATGACGGGGGCCTTACCTTTTAACGTGTGATCCCAAACACTTTCTTGGGTCATCAGAAAAAATTTTGCAGTCGACGGGAATCGAACCCACGACCGGCAAGCGAATGCGGATTAAAATATGGACACTCTGTCCGCAGGCCTACCTGGCCCCAAAAATAATGTTCTCATACTCCTATTTATTTCGTCGAAATTGGAAGAGGGTGTAACTTTGTACGTACGGAAAGGTAGATATGGAAATATCGGGTGCTCAGAGCGAATGAATTGAAATAATTTTTACAAAAAAAAATTATATAAATTCAACACGTCTAAATGAATTGCTCGATATGACCTCCAATGTTTTGAATACACATGCGAGCCCTTTTAATTGAAGAAAATATAAGCCTTTGAAAAATATGTGGCTTATACACAAAATCTTTCATACATCCCCAGGCATTCCTGATCTGCTATTTCTTTCATCAAGTAGCTGTTAAAAATCATGAATATCATAATTTCACCAAAAATTTCCGAAATTTTTTTTAAATTTTTCCGATTTGATGTTCCGGTCGTTTGCGCCCGACATACCTCACGGGGGGAGCCACCTCGAAAATATTTTTGAAAAATTCCGCACCCCCCAGAACCGCTCAAACTGATTTTATTATTCTTTTAAAAAATTTGCTGTTCCCGAAAAAAATCAATTCAATAATTCTTTAAAAGGGTTCGTCAATCGATCCCCCCCCCCCATCCTCCTGAAATCATTATTCTTCTGAAATTCTAAAAAACGGTTTTTTTATTTGACCCCGTCAAAAAATTTCACGCCGTTCGATTGTCAAAAAAATTTTATTCGACATGTGTCCACACTTTTTTTTATTTCTTGTTTTTCATGTCTGATTATCTGGATTGCAATCATTCGTATTTGAGAAGTTTGTTTCCAATAGACTTGGCTGGTTTAATGGCAATTTGGATTTTCATTAAGTTGAAAAAAACTTCTATTGAATCTCCGTTTTACTCATCTCAATGTTTGTAATTATTGGTTTCCAGCCATTGGTGTAAGTTCTCATTAGACTGATTACCTGATTGGATGCATTGCAAAACTTTTTTGACTCGTATGATTTTTCCGTGAATACGACAGTTATTCGATGAAAAAATACAACATCGTGCATGAACGGATCTTCTGTAAATGAATCGAAAAAATCTAGTAGGTGGCTGTCACGTTTTGATTGTCATGAATACGACAGAGGATTGTGTTACTGTCATATTAAATTTCGTTCTTTCATTGTATTTTGAAACTGTCACGCATTTCAAGACTTGAAAGTTTCTTTAATAATTAGATGTCAGTATTCTTGCAAATTGAGACGAAATGAAAAGGATCGTTGTTCCGTTTCTGCATCATTTCTTTACTTAAATATTGCTATTCTGCTACGCCACTGTCCTGGTCAAATTCCTACTATATGATAAAAATATTTGGTATTCTTATTTGTGTTTACATTTCGCGGGTACCTATATCCATTGACAAGAGGTACCATGTGGTCACCCCCTCCATGGTGCGCAATGCGTACGGAGAGAAGCAGTGCGAGGAGATGAGATGAGAACGGGACGATACCAAGTGCTATTTTTGTTTTTGGTAATTAATTCATTTTCCCTAAATTTGTAATTTACTCAACGCAGCTTCAGGATAGTGAAAAATACTCAGTGAAGTGCAACCCTACTCATAAACAGAGGTGCAGTCAGTGCTCTTGCTCCTGAGGCTGCCGCCGAGCAGAAACCAACAGAAGAATCAAAACCACGCCGGTTCAACAAGTGAGTGGCCATTTCGAATGCTTCTTGTCAATTTGCGAAAATCAATCAAGAAATTGATAACAAAATTTACAGTCCACTGTTTCTTTCTCGCCCAATCGTAGACGACGACACTTATTACCCTCTTCAGAATTGTCCGATATGATTTTGGTCATGGGTAAGATACAAATCGGAACGTTTACCGATAATGGTATAAATTTATCTCCATTTCTTCAATAGGAAAGGAACTCCGACGCTAGTTCAGCCACTAGGCGCTACGCAGACAAGTATCCTAATAGATTTCATCCAAGAAGGAGATATTTTTCTAATTTGATAACCGTATAATTGCGGTAATTGCGGCCGACCTACTCTAATTCAACCAGACCAAGAGGAAGAGATTTTAAGGATTGTCGAAGAAACACCAAACATTAGTACCAGGGTTTTGGCGAGGCAGGTTGAAAATGTCGGGAAAACATCGGTACACAGTAATATAAGAAGTCACCAGCTTTACCCATTCCACATTCAAAAAGTGCAAGCTCTTTTGCCTCGAGACTTTGGAGCCAGACTTTTATTCTGTAGATGGTTATGTGACAAAAACAACCAAGATGTACGTTTCATCAAAAATATTTTATTTACTGATGAAGCTTCATTTACGAGAAACGGGAAAACAAATATTCACAACACACACCAATGGGCAGAAGAAAATCCTAAAGCCATAGTAGAGACACATCATCAAGTAAATTTTAGAGTCACTGTGTGACAGGTGTCGTAGATAATTATCTTTTGGGGCCTATAATTTAACCAGGAAATTTGACTGGTAATTCGTTTTTAATATCTCTTCAAAACACTCTCCCTGATTTACTTGATGATTTGCCTCTACTGGTGAGAGAAAATATGTGGTTTCAATTAGACGGTGCACCTCCGCATTTTGGTGTGAATATTCTAAATTATTTGAATGAAATCTTTCCTAATCGCTGGATTGGTCGGGGTAAGGATGCTCCTGTTCAATGGCCACCCCGTTTTCCTGATCTCACACCCTTGGTCTTTTCAGTCTGGGGATGCATAAAAGAGTTTGTGTATAAGGTTCCGATTATGAGCGAGAATCATTTAAGAGCCAGATTCTCTCAAGCTAAGGAGCATTTCAGGTTGAAGCCACATATTTTTCAAAGGCTAAGATGTTCTTTAATTGAAAGGGCTCGCATGTGTATTCAAAAAATTGGAAGTCATATCGAGCAAGTCATTTAGACGTGTTGAATTTCTATCAATTTTTTTTGGAAAAATCATTTTAATACATTCGCTCTGAGCACCCGGTATTTCTATATTTACCTTTTCGTACGTAAACAGTTACGCCCCTTCCCAATTTCGACGAAATAAATAGGAGTATGTGAACATTATGAGATTACCGTAAGCCGCATAGGCATCAAACAATAACCAGTACTTTTCGAATTATCTTACAAACAAATAATCTTATCGAAATATCACAAGAGAGAAATATCACAAACTTTAACCGTAGACACGTGTTTCGGGCTTTCGGCCCTCATCAGTACGGTGGAAAAGTGCGAAACATAGGCAACACTTGGTGGAAGACGAAACAACAAAATAACGGAGTCAACAATCAGAAGCCAGTCGCACAATTGTGGTTTCGGTCAGAAGACCCCAAGTATTCAGGGCAACAACTAACGTCACCACGGGGGCAGCTATAGCTACCTGCGTGACATCCGAGTCCAGGTACAAACATGATGAAAGGAATATTGAGGGGACTGTTGTAAACAACGGGGAAGGCAATAGTGGACGAAGCCATCATATAACGTTAACCGTAGACACGTGTTTCGGGCTTTCGGCCCCCATCAGTACGGTGAAAAAATTGCGAAAGATAGGCAACACTTGGTGGAAGACGAAACAACAAAATAACGGAGTCAACAACAGAAGCCAGACGCACAATTGTGGTGTCGGTCAGAAGACCCCAAGTATCCAGGGAAACAACTAACGTTCACCACGTAGGCAGCTTTAGCTACCTGCGTGACATCCGAGTCCAGGATTACAAACATGATGGAAGGAATATTGAGGGGAATGTTGTAAACAACGGAGAAAGAAATAGTGGACAAAGCCCTCATAGAAAAGTTGACCGTAGGCACGTGTTTCGTCATAAAAAGTTAACCGTGTTGAAATGATGCATGTGAACTTTTTAGTTTCTCACACACATCCTTCTTGCATAACGTTCGTCTGCATATCTTGTCGCCGATGAAATGAATGTTGCTCTTGGGATTTCTTGATTTTTTCCTATTGGGTAACCCTCTACCCCTGTATCAGTACAGCTGCATGACCAATCAATCGGTTTCTTCATCGCTTATTCAAAAATTCATGAACTATCAGCTAAAATGCGCTGATGCTTCATCATGTATAAACCATATTCTTTGTCTCAGTTAAAGTTGAATGTCTTCAAGTAATTCAGGTAAAATATTCCTCAGGAAATAAGGATGAGAATTTGCAGTAAGAGTCACTGAAAAAAAGTAGTGACACTCAAATAATCCCCAACAAAACCAATTCACACATTCGATGAAAACTGGTTCTGAAACCTGGACTCAACCATTGCGTGAGTGCTTTCATCACACCATACCTACACGTTCTTTCAACAGGCCTGATTTTTGTTCCGTTCAAGGCTTTCAATAGGCCGACTCAGAATATAGATGGTAACTTTTATGATGGGTATTTTTCCGGCATCTATCCGATCAATATTGAGGCGGCTCGGTGGTCGAGAGCGCAAAGGCACTGATTTCGTATGGGGACTACCACCGAGACATGGGTTTGAATCCCAGTTAGGCCATGGATGTTTGTGTTTGTATGCTTACCCAGCCCCGCACAAGTTTCGACTTATGAGGTGTTCGGTCCTCGTGCTGAGACCAACGAGGTAACGCATTAAAAAATGTATCGCATATCGCCGCCCTCCTTTAAGTGGACCCCTGCTAGATTGAAAACCTCAATGTTGGTAACTTTCTTATTTGAGGATGGCGAACGTAAAATAAATTTGGGAGGAACATCACTGCTACTCGAAGTTGTTATGAAAGTTGTATAGATAACTTATATTTGTGTTAAAATCCATTGAAATCCCAAGATGAATTTTTCTGTTTCGAAAGTTATCAAAAACCTTCTACCATGATTAAGGGCCTACAAAAATGTTTTTCAATCTCCTAAATGCAATATTATGATGTAGTACTTATATCGACAACACTTTCAGGAGAGTTGTCAAAACCGAACCTGAAATAGCTGTAATGAAGTACGTCATAGAAGTGTCTTCATCAGCTCATAGACATGTTATGCGAATGTCTAAAGCTGGCCTGTATGAGTATCAATGCGAATCAGAGTTTTTGAACTACTGCTACAAACATGGTGGGTGTCGACACGTTTCCTATACTTGCATTTGTGGATCAGGTCCCAATGGAGCAATTCTCCACTATGGTCATGCTGGATGTCCAAACAATTATCGACTGCAAGATGGAATGCTTTGGTGAGTTCATACAGTGATCGACAAACGTATCGATTGAAATCTATATAGCTCTTTTACTAGGGATATTAGGAAACAGGAAAATTTTGAAATAGATTTTTCATGTTGCTATCAGCAATATTTTCAAATATACCTTTGCCGATACCTGAGAAAATATTGTATTATATATTTTTCAATTGGATATGATGAGTTGACAGCATCAATAAATTTTATTTCCGACCAAAACATCTTTATCCACTTTACAGAAACCCACATACGTATAGTCATTCGTTTTTTGATAATTACAAATTCGTTGAAGCAAATAACGATTCAAGAAACAAATCTGACGTTACGTTACGTTACACGTCCGATTTTTTTTTTTGAAATGCTCGTATTAGTTCAATGATATTAGACAGAATATGTCCGTACCTGGGAGAAATTACCCCAAAGGATAGACTTGGCATAGTTCTAGTGCTCAATGATAACGTACTAAAACTCACACTTATATATACTTTGTATATACAGTTTCCATCTTGGGAAATGGCGGCAGTTTTCATGCAATATATCATCAAAGGTTGTATGTAAGTAACAGTGACGGCTCGTGCCCTCAGAACCTGGGTCGGCCAGGGTATAGATATTGCTCTAAAATGCGAACGTAACACGTTGGGTCAGCGGCTTGAGTGAAGTTCGATGGCAAATAAGCATGTACAGGGTGATTCACCATAATTGTCCCCCCCTCTAGCTCACTTATTTTTGACCCGATTTAAAAATTTGAAGGATGATCTAAAATTATTTCTCAGAATTTTTTTTCCTGTTTCATCAGGAAATACAGGGTGCTCGGAACAAATGATCTACAGAGAGTACTACTCGATTTTTCCAAACGGAACACCCTGTATTTCATTGTATTTTTAGATTCTTCCTGAAGAGCTGATTTCATCAATGCATCACACTTGGGGTCTAGCGGGAATGATAACAGATATAGAGTGTTCAAAATCGAGATTTTTCAAGTTTAGGATTTTTTTGTCTCGAAACTATTCATTATTTGTCGAAACGGCTCCCATGTTTCCATCTTAATTTTTGATTAACTGTCTATAGAGATTTGATTGGAACATTTACAGGGTGGTTCAAGATTCAGAATTCTGATCACCCTGTATCTGTTCCAATTATTACATGTCAGTAGATAGTAAATCAAAAGTTGAGATATGGACATGAAAGCATTTTTGACCGATGATGAATAGTTTCGTCTCAAAAAAATCCTAAAGTTGAAAAATCTCGATTTTGAACACCCTATATCTCTGTAATCATTCCCGACAGACCCCAAGTGTGATACATTGAGAAAATCAGCTTTTCAGGAAGAATCTAAAAATACAATGAAAAATAGGGTGTTCCATATAAAAAAATCAAATGGTACCCTGTAGATCGTTTGTTCTGAGCACCCTGTATTTTCTGATGTAGCGGAAAAAAACTCAATCAAAAATCATTCAAGATGATATTTCAAATTTTGAAATCGGTTTAAAAATAACTGAGCTAGAGGGGGGGGACATTTATGGTGAATCACCCTGTACACATAACCAAAAAATTGAATTGTTCAGCAAGAACCACGAGGTTAGAGCATTCTTGCCAGGGGAAATGGGGAAAGGAAAAGGAGGTGGCTAAGGGTTAGTTGGTTTGAAAAAATAATAACAAGAAAGTCGAAAAAATAAAATGAAAGAAAATGAAAATAAAATAACTCGTGAACAAAAAATATTTATATTCTGTTGAAAACGTAACGTAAACTCAAAAAAATCAACATAACCGACAGCCACTCACCTAACGCGAGAAGCACAACAATGACTAAATCGGTCTACGCCGTTCCTGTAACAAGCCACCCCACTCCTTCGTAGTCGGCTGGCCGAGCCCGCCGTGCAGCCGTAGGTATAATCAGGACTATCAGGAGTGTATAATCTCTGGTATAATGTTTCACGCGGTGGATGCATATAAATATTATTTATAACCGCTACATGCGTCTTTGAAAATAAATGATATTCTGGAAGTTATACATTTATTACATTCTCGTCACCAGAGCTTTTTTACGATGTTTCAATACCTACTCAGCTCTTGGACTGCTGACATTTTTCTTGCCATATTACCTACATAGGCAGAGGCACAGTATATTGAATTATAACTTATTGACGCTCAGAGGCACTGATGGAAAATTCTGATACCAATATTAGTTGGATATGTTGAATTATGAATCACTGAAAAATTGCAAATTCAAAAATCAGTCATTTTTACTGCAACTACTGGAAGCGTGAACAAAAACATCGAATTTTTTTTTTCAGTTTGTACATTTCAAATTTCATTATCAACTTACAAATAAGTATAGGAATAAAAATTATAAATACCTACAATGTAAAATGAAAATAGAATGTCAATCATGCCAATCCGTATATTAAAAATAAGGTTGGAATGGTCGGATACGGTGCACAGCGAGCGCACTGCAAACTACTGATTACGTACGGACGGCCAGCAGAGCTTGGCCGCACCCAAGGTATGACGCGTATCGTTCGCGTATACGCGAGAATTCAAACTTGAAGCGGGGAATCTGTAGGCGATGCGTCGAGAGTGGTCGAGACAAGAAACCACCGATCGGCCGGCACAAGAGTCTCGAGATCATACCCGTGTGTTCACCGAACACGCCCGATCGTTACCTAAGCGGTGGGGAGACCGAGACGTAAGCAGGCAGCCATGATACGATGAGTGGGCAGGCAGCTTCTCTCATGCAGTTTTTGTAGTACGGGGTGGGCCACCAACAGTTTTCTTGATCACATTTCAACATTTTTTTTTTCGAATAAATAAGAAACATTTGATAGGCATCAAGTGATCTACTTACTGCGACCTATCAGAAAATGAAAGCGATGATTTGATTTGCAATAATTCGCTATGTCACGACGAGTCCTACATGTAAAAATAGCGAACCACTCATCGAAAATTATGAAACTATCTATATGTACATATTATATGCTCATGTTTTGTTGGCGAGGACGCTCGTTTTATTCAAATTATTTTCGATAATGTTCATCTGCTTCACTAGAAATTATTATTAGTAGTTATTATAGTAGTAGTATATGTATAGTTGTAGCAGCTTATTTGTTATTCAAAATGGAACACCTTATATTTTATTACATTTTTCGATTCTTCTAATTGAGCTATGATTTCGTTGATCAAGCTCAAGGTATACCTATACGTAGAATGTGAAAAATCGAGATTTTTTTGTATCGAAACTATACAATACCTATATTGATTTGTCAAAATGGCTTACATGTGTCCCTATCCTAACATTCTATTTACTATCTAACTGATGCCATTTAATTGAAACAGATACAGGGTGGATCAGATTTCAGAATTATATAAAAGAGGTACTAGTATGCCTACTAAAAAAATATATTGTATATTTTAAATAAACAAAACAAATATATCACATAAAAAAACACACTCTCATATTCAACATAAAATAAAATTCAATCCACTGGATGTATTTAAAAATATAAACAGTGTGCATGTCGCTTCTAGTGGAATCAACCCGTACATCTAACGTAACTGTTCGATTTTCAGGAGCGATAGATATATATATCAACAATGACCAAAGTGAGGTAATCTTCAGTGAAATACACTGCTCGGGTCATGGACCCACCAACATTTCCGGAAAATGATATTAGGAGGCAAGATAGGTTGAAAATCACTTCGGATTCGAAATCAGGACGTCCAATTCACTGACTATATTCATATTGTTCCTGAGAAATGTTCAGTTCTGAAAAATCAAATTTTGTTCCAATTTACATGAAGCACACCCGTATCTTACGTAAGTATTCTATTCACAGCAGCAAGAAAGATACAATCAAAGAGCAGTGTATAGGTATATATCACTGAAGATGTCCCCACTTGGTCAAATAGTTTATTTTTGATAGGTACCTATATCTATATTCTATACCTATGGCTCTTGTAGATTTCAGAATCCTAATAACTCAACAAATACGTAAAATACAGGAGTGTTTTCCATCAGATTGGCAAATTTGACTCCAAAATAATTCTGGCACGCGCCAATATTCATAACGAAAGAAGCTGCCTGTTTACATCTCCCCACCGCTTAGGTAATGATCGGGCGTGTTCGGTGAACACACGGGTATGATCTCGAGACTCTAGTTCGGCCGGCCGTCTGCATCAGTGTAATGAGCTACGCGGGCGTTTCAAGTTAAAGCGGCGTTTTGACGATGGGATTACCAGATGTCGTAGGTCCTGAATTAGTTCGTGATTTTCGGAGTATATGCGGATGGCATACTCAAAGGTTCCAGTGAATGAAATTGAAATAATAGTGGCATAACAGTAGGATAATGAACGATGAATTATGAAAACAGTTTCGGAAAATAATTGTATTCATCAAATAGTTCAGTAATTTTCCCCAAATTATTTGGTACGGCCCGGCCGACCCTGCCGTCCCTGACGAGCCGTCACTGGTAAGTAATGTATATGTGTAGATAAGGGAGATGTGTATACTGCGACCCATGTGCTCTATTGTGTCCCCTCTTCCTGCTACGCGTCCTTGGACTTCTCAATCATAGTTTTTCTTCTAATCCTATTCGGATATTGAGGATATGGGATGGTTTCAAAGAGCTACACAGTTCGTGAGGATGTGGATGGAGGTTTCGTACTCTGCTTCATCTTCAACCCTGATAGGAACTCCAGTTAGTATTCGGATCTTATTTTTACTTAGGTTGATGCAATGAGTAGATCTTTTCTGCTTGTGGGTTCCTAGTAATGTGTTCCCTTGTCTCATACCATGTAAATCCCGCGAGTATTTGGCTCTCTAAAGACACATTTCTTCATTCAATTTCCCAACTTTTGTTTTACTGATCCCACTGAAGGATTCGGAACCCATGAATGTTGTTTCAGCTTCTTTCTTCACGAGTCTATCTGCTAATTCATTTCCCTCCAGTTCGGTATGCCTCGGAACCCATATCGTTCAGTTTTCCTAGGCAGTCCCAGAC